CCCTAACCCTAACCCTAACCCTAACCCTAACCCTAACCCTAACCCTAACCCTAACCCTAACCCTAACCCTAACCCTAACCCTAACCCTAACCCTACGCAGTACTCTTGACCGTTCCCCGCTCATACGCCTGATGTACCTCCTTCTGCCATGTCGTGTCGCTCTGCTGAACTTGTTGTGCGCGCTCCATCCTCCCCAAGTCGTGTGGGCTGAGGGATCGATCCCACCCAAGCCGAGCGTCGATCCGATCGTCACTCCGGCTCGAACAAGCGGTGGCCGAGGCCATGCCGCCAGGATGGACCTGTCCTCATCGTGAGTCGAGAATTCCTGTCGCAGCTCGCGGAGGTGGATCGTGGCTTGAAACGGAAAGCGAGGCGCGCGCGCGCGGGCTTCTATAGCTTGCTACTCCGGCCGTGACTGCAGAGCCCGCGCGACGAGGGACAGACACGCAGCATGCTCGGTCCTTGGCAGACACACAACAGTCACAGTCACAGTGACGTGCTGCTAGCCTGCCTGCACGCGTGAATGCGGGCTAGCAAGGGTAGGACGATGCATCCCCTGTGCATATATATAGCGGTACCTACAGCTGCAATGGCGCAGCGCGGCGGTCTTTCGCGCGCAGCAGCCTGCATTGATCCCGATGCGCGTCCATCCATGCAGCGGCTAATCGCTCTCGAAAGCTTTCTTGTAAACGAAATTTAAAGCATTTAGAGCAAGCAGCTCGCAGCAGGAGATGCCTTGCGCAAAGCTCACTCCCTGCTGCCAAACTGCATGGTGCACAGCCTCGCTGAGATCGAAAGCAACCTTATCGCTCGTCTCAAATCGCCCTTGCGGGAAGCTTTGGGGAGCGATGCATCTTGGAGCCCGCGACGGCGGTGAGCATATCGTTAGAGCTGCTCTTCCCAAGGCCTACTCTCGTATATGCTCCATTGATGGCTGTGAGCACCAGCTCGGACACACGTTATTCACGATTGCCCTTGGAGCGCGCGTCCAAATGCTTGATGGAGGGGTAGTTGTAAAGAGTTACCATCCACGCACAACACATGGCAGGCTCTCGTGTGATAGCCCTCAGTCGTGTGAGCTCACGTCCGCTGCGGCAAATCAACAATGTACAGCAATGATATAGGGACAACGTGAAGCAACACTGGCGAGCACGCACGCGACCACGCCCGCAAGACGGCAGGAGTTACCGAGCTCACTCCCACCAACTGCCCGTGTGGCTCTCAGGAGTGACGCATTGGAATTGCACAAACGACGGTGTCAGAGAAAGCGAGATCTTCTAGAAAAGAGTGCGCACGGAGGTATGTGTGAACAGAAACGAGCGAAGAAGGAGACGAGCGCGGTGACATGTGCAAGGTCAAAATTGGAAAGACATGATGTACGGCGAGAGTAGGAATGGATAAAGAATGCTGTAGAATGATCGTGTGCTTGGTCAGTCGTCGCTCACCACTGCGCTGCTTCACCGCGCCCGCGCACGGTTCCACTCACTGGCCGACCGCAAGCATCAAAGGAGGGAAGAGTAGATATATGCCATCTACTCGCCATTCCATCGGGAGAATTGGAGTCGTGCACACCACAATGCCAACGACGATGGCACCATTCAAAAGCAAGCAGTGCCAATACTTTTTCAAGATGGATGGCAGTTCCCGCCAAAAGTTGGACGACTCGATGTCTGCAAAGGCGGGGTGAGTAAGCGCGCGCGCGTGCGTGCTTATACCGAGCGCTCACGTAGCGCCCACATACCTTTCAACGTTGCCGCCCAGTTCATGTTATATCCGACGGGATGCGCTAGGAGCGCGAGCAAGATGTGGTAGCTCATGCCTGTAAAGAAAAGCACAAGGCTAGGCATCCATTTGAGGTGGTCGTAGATGGCCCGAGCAATAGTGTCTTGCCTCGACCGCGCGCGACTGACGACGAGGCCAAGCGTACCTCCAACTACACAGAAAAGGCGTCGAATTTAGCGCACATCGCGCTACGTCTTGCAACGGGATTTACTCACCGCTATACACCATGACCACGGCCACCCAGACCTGGAATGACGTTAGGAAGAGATGGTCGACCTCCGGATAAAAGAATCCTTGCAGCACAAATATGCCGACCGAACCTGGAAGGGATATGGCGATAGCAAAGTAGGAGAACATGTAGCTGAGAACGCTCATCTTGGCGCCTAAGAGCGTGGCGGGAATGAGCGCATTGCAAAGCTTCCATCAGTGCTACAAAAGACTCACTGAGTGCCAAATCGCTGAACAACCATTTGCGAAACATTTTGGCAAAGGGTCCCTTTTTCCACCACTGGCTGATAGGATTCAACATGATCTCGGAGCACCCCCAGCCGTATTTCTGGAGGCGATTGACCTCGTCGTCCTGCAAGCGATGCTCGCTGTGAGCTCGTGCGCTGCTCTAGCCAGTGCATCATCGCGCCATCGCGCCATCGCGCCACTCACCGGAGTCAACGAGACACCCTCAAGAAAGTCGTTTTTGGACCATGTGGCCCATCGCACAATGTAGCCCTTGATGGAGAGTCGCAAAGACATGTCGAAATCTTCAGAGACCATGTTCCAAGCCCAGATGCAGCGGTCGCCTTCTTCGTCGATGAAAGAGCACTCTTGAACGGCTGACCAGCGCATGAACGCATTGTGTCCGACAAAAGGAGCAATGGATCCGTTGGCAACGATCCAAGAGATCGAGTAGTTGACCATTTTGGTAAAGTGTCCAATGAAAGCTTCAAAGTAGTTGTTTGCGACGTACATGACTCCGCTGCAGTGTTGCAGCACGCCGACCTCGGGAGACTGCTCCATCTCGGAAACGCTGTCGAGGAAGCAGTCTTCGGGAACGCGCGTGTCCGAATCGATGATCAGAATGTAGTCACCGATGCGAATGTCACCGCTAGCCCACGCGCGGTTTCCGCCTTCCTCGATGGCTTGTTCCAGCGCAATTTGGTAGAGCTCATTCTCATCCTCGGCGTTCCAGAATGTATTTGCAGGTTTACGAGCCTGAGCTTCGGGCCGCATCCCGTCCAGTATCTCCTCGACGCGCATGGAGAGCGAGCAGGTAAAGTTGAGATTGGAAGCCTTTTTGAAGCGTCCCTTGCGGATGAAACCGTCGGAATTGTGCTTTGGACGTGCCACCCAGCCAATGTTGTTCCTGTCGTAGTAGTCGCGGCGAATGTCTTGCTCTACAGCGTCGAAAAGCTGCATCCCATCCTCGCTGACCAGAATGTTGGCAGTGCCGCCTTGAAGCTCGTACGTTGCGACGGCTTTCTTCAAGGATTCGATGGTGGGCATCAAGACGGACTCCAATCCTTCTTTGTAGACCGGCATCTGGACAGTCACGTGGGGAAGAACGGTGCCCGTGATCCGACGCGGTGGTTTTCCGCTATAGTACAGTCCGTTGCTGTGCAGTTGCGAAACCGGCATGATGATGTGTGCGACGACGTTGACGATGGTGTCGGAAAAGAACATTGAGCTGCAGGCGCGAGAAGACGAGATCAATACCGCGACGTGATCATACTTTGCTCGCGACGCGATCAATACCGGGACGTGATCAAAATTTTGTTCGCGTCGCGACTCACACTAAAAAGTATGCTGGCACCGCAAGGACTACGAATACCATGCGCATCCACGAGCCGTCCAAGAGGCAGGTCACTAGCGTGTTGCGCAGGAGCAAAGAGATCATCAAGAAGTTGAGCGCAACAGCGCAACCCGTGTAGAATGGCGCAAGGAGGACTTGGCTGCGCCCCGACTCCAGTACACCTGGCTGGTGCACGGGCTCTAGCGATGTGGTGCTGTCCGTGGGACGCTTTTCGTCTGCGATGCTTTCAGCGGGCGTAGCCACTGAAGCGAGACTGCGAGAGGAGCGGAACGGGTTGAAGCCTAGAGCACCGCTCGAACCGCGCCACAGCGGCGAGGGCCGTGCGGGATTAGCCTTTTGCATCGAGGGCACCGGTGGGGCAGGCGTAGAGACGCGCTCAAAGATTTCACTTGGAGACGCATCCCCAGGTGCGGGTGTTGTAGTGCCAAATCTGTTGGCGCCAGCCTTTCGCCAGACAAAGTTGACCATCTTGGCCTCGAGAGTATTTGCGTGCTCGACGAGATCTTCGACGCGGTCAGTCCAGACGATCAATCTCCCTTCCGAGCGAATGAAGCACGCGCCTTGCGCCTTTCTAGAAGTGCCAAGACTGATCATGCTCTCGACCACCTGAACTCTGTCGTCGGCCGTAAGAGCGAGCTCCGTAGTGCCAGGAGGAAGCGATGCTGTGACGGCTCGACAGACCTCGGTGGTCATGGTGAGCGCGGCCTGTGCGGAGAAAGGAGCGTGATGAGCATCGCACACGCGTCCATCGTTTTGCGAGCACGCCTCACCTCGCAATTGACGTGACCGATCTGCTCGATGAAAGTGCCCATTTGAGGCGCGTGGTCGGGAAAGACGACGTACTGATGCTTGAAGAGTCTCAAAGCCACGCAGCTCCAGTCGTCCGTGGCGAACAGATCGGATCGTTTGGCGATGCGGTACGTCTTGCCTGCCATGAGCTCAAAGGCTTGAAAGCGAGCCAGCATCTCGCCGGAGCCGGGAGCAGGAGTGCATGAGCGGGGTGAATCTGTACCGTCCAGCAACGCATGGGCACGTGGCCCAGGGGCGTGCTCGGGGGGCGAGAATGGATTGGGCGACATGGCAGGCCCAAGAGATGGTCGCACGGAAGGGTGATGTCGTGAGGACGATATCGTGAGAACTTGAGGGAAAGGAGATGATGAGCACATCGAGACGAATGGATGGTGTAGATCGAATCTGCTCGCGATTTAAAAGGTGCTTTTTGCTCAAGCGCCTTCAATGAAAGATGCGATCTACAGTCTGCGCTGGCCAAACGGACTCGAGAGATGCGATCTACAGTCTGCGCTGGCCAAACGGACTCGAACATCTTGCTTATCCTGTCGATACAGACGGACATGTTCCTGGCGATGCAATCATCGTCCCGTTCCTGGACGGGACGTATCCCGTAGCGCCTCAGAGCAAAGGGGCCCAGAACATTCCACTTCCAACGTGCTAGCAGGGGCCGATCATTTCCTTGCGTTGTAGCGCGACGAAAAGCCAGTCTTGAGAGCGGACGCACGACGGTACGGTGTGCGATGCTGGTGCAATTGCTGAAAGTCTCTGGATGGGTTCCGCGACGGACGGAGAGTACGTGGCTTTGGCACTGCAGCGGCACACGGTAAGAGATCGATCCCGTTTTCCTGGCGATCCCGTTTTCCTGGCAGATCATTCTGGCACTGACAATCCCGCGACAAGGGCTTGATTGAAGTCTTGCTCGCCTGGAAAAGTGGCAGTAAACGTGAGCAGAGTAGAAGTGCGGAGCTCGGCTCGTATCGGCGACCGATGGCGAAGAGCTGCGAGTGGCTCAATTTTACGAACGACATGCACGGATCGAGCACGGGATGAGCACGGGATGGAGAAGGTTCTCTCGTTCTGGTGCGCGCGTCGATGGATGACGTGTGGCCCGCGAACAGCCACGATAAGGAGACGTCTTTGACAGGCACCTCAACCTGATCGCCGACGCTACAGGCGCCATCAAGAGGGATGCGTGATCCCGACGGGATGGCCACGGGATGGAGAAGGAAAGATCGTTCCGGTGCACAGTCGGGATGCAAGGTCGATTGGTGAAGTGTGGCCCGCGAACAGCCACGATAAGGAGCCGCCTTTGACGCTCATCTTCGAAAAGGAGGCGAGCTGCTTTTGCGTACGAGATGCTGTGAACACCGCCTGATTTCCCTCCAGGGGACACGCAGTGCATACCGAGACTGCGTTGCAGCTAGCACCAGTGGCGGCCGCGCCGTGGACGGGGGTCGACGTGGTGCAATCATGACTTTTACGCTTCCACCAACGCCATTGCGACTCCCACGAGGCCTGCCAAACACAATCAATGAACGCGCGGAGGCCTGCCAATCATAGTAAATGAGAATACGATCGTCTCTGCCGCCGCGCGAGACCAGATCTTTGACCGGACGCTTCGGACTGGGCCCACGGCTTGCCAATTGCGATACGGCAATGCTGGAATGACCGCGCCACGCGCACGCAGTGTCAGGGGGTTTACCAATGTTGCTACTCCCGCGAAATTTTGAGAGAATAGGATCGCACGGCACGCTCCGCTTTGCGGGATCGCGCCATTGCGATCGTTTCACAAGCCTCTTGCTAGACGTGCGACGAGCCCGCCCGAGCTCAGTCCGGCGCAGCGGGATGGTGCTGGTCGGTGCTTCGGGCCTCGTGGCTTTACCGATTCACATTCGTGATTCTAGCTGGAGCGATAGCGCGCGCTGTCTTTCAAGCTCCGCTAACCCAGACAGCTGCATGGATATGCATGCAGCTGTCTGATAAAGGACGTGCGTGCGTGCGGGCGTGCGCGAGTGTGCGCGGTGCTACATGGATCATCAAAAGAGTGCCGCAGAACCTTGTCGTTTGGAGCGCGTGCGTGTGCGCGTGCACAGCCATGCAGGGTTCCTTGATAAATTCCCGTGCATATATGCCTTGACCACTCACGACTTGGGATTCGGGCGTGCTCGCAAGAGCTTGATCTGCATCGGTCTCAACACTCGCGACTCGCGACTCGCGACTCGCGACTCACGACTTTTTTGGGCAGTTGTGGGAAGTGTGCACGATCCAGTTCACTAGCAGGCACCAGCGCGGGAGGGTTAGGGTTCTGGCAAACACGCGCGCGCTATCTCGAAGCGTGACTCACGACTGTGGTGTCTCACGCCGCAAGCCGCTGCAAACAAACGACAATTGTGACTGTGAAACCTTCTGAGAGGCCGCAAAGTGTCCGCGTCGCGCATGCATGCAGGAGACTCGGGGAGAGACACGCGCGAAAGGCGATCGAGGCTTGCGCATCTTGGCAAATTCTCCGGTATCGGGGAGGCGCGCGGTCGATGCGAAAGCAGTCGTGAGTAGTCGTGAGTAGTGGTAGTGCACGCGGTCGAGGACTCCTCTCCAAAAATCGCGCGTGCGATCAATACGGATGCCCCTGCGCGGTACCTGAACATCGACTCGTGAATTCACGAATGTCGCGTACGTTATCGTGCTGGAACCGCGTGCGCGTCTCCATCCCGTGTCAGCCAAGAGGAACCGGTCCGTCGGCACTCGCTTGTTGAACGCAGCGAACACACCTTGCTTTCCACCCGCCGCGGAAATTTCAGACTCAGACGCGCGCGCCGTCGTCCCTTTCCTCACCGTCCGCCATTCTGCTGCTTCGCGCGAGGGGGAGGTGCGCGCGCGCGCTCTTATCGAGGAGTCGAGCACGCTGACAGGTCCGAAAGCCACCATGGCGGGATGAGATGCTCGAAGGACAGCCATCCTCACACGGGAATCTCCATCGGGAGACCACCCTCGGGACATCGTATTCGAGGCTAGCCCTCTCCAATATGCTTTTTGCATTGCCACGTCGTGCTTCATCGTGGCGCCAGAGGGGCTCGGACTGCAGAGAGATGCGCCAGGAGCTCGGAGTGCAGAGAGATGAATGTGGATCCCGTTAGCTCGAGCTGCCGATCAAGGACTGGACGGGACGATGGGGGTCTCGACTCGACTCCTGAATCGGATTCTTCGCAGCGAAGTAGGCGGAATTTTGGCTAGCCAGCCCCTTGCCGAGTCCTCAAGAGATGTGCAGTGATCGAACGAGAGCGCGCGTCGCCGCCGATCACTGGATGTGCTGATGGCGGCCTCAAATATAGATACGATCGCTTGGCATCTCCGTTTATTCTTGCTCCACTGACATCGACACGAGCTGACCTACTCACCACAAAGACGTTCGCACATTCACCTCACCCCTATCTCTTTACGATGACCGACGATCGTGACCTTCATCAAGTCGAAAAGGACGACGTGTCTCCTCTTCCCTCTTCGCCTTCCTCGTTCCGCGCTCCGCTTGGAAGGCCTGCTTGGTACGGAGCATCGGTGAGTGCGCGCGCGGGACCAGAAGAATGTCAGCGGGTTGCACTTGATCTTACTGACCGACCCTCTTTTCACTCACGCAGCCCACTCCATCGTTCAACTTTCTGTCCGGCAGCGCGCCCGCGCCCAACTTCAGCGCAGCGTCTCAGCGCGCCCCTTTTAAATCGCGACTCATTGATCCTGATCGTGAACGCGAGCACCTGCTGAGATGCGAAACCAAGCTTGGCAAGCAACAGGCTCGCAAGGTAAGTGATTCGCGGGGTTGCGGGTGTGCTCCTGCTACGCAAGCTGACCCACCCGCGCTATTCTCGCACGCGCAGAACCTCATTGCTTGCTTGGTCCCTGTACTGGTCGGACTCGTCGGTGCTGCCGCCTTGATTGTGACCGGCTACCTGGGCATCAAGAAGCACGACTACTGTCTCGTACTCGAAGACAACTTCGACGGACCTCTAGACACCACCATTTGGAAGCATGAGCAAGAGACCGGAGGTTTCGGCAACAGCCAATTCGACTGGACAACCGACTCGGCCAACAATTCCTACACCAAGGACGGCATGCTCTACATCGTTCCCACCCTGACTGCTGACAGCATCGGCGAGGCTGCCATCATGAACGGCTACCAGCTCAACTTGACCACCACGGGCACTTGTACCGCCGCAAACACCAGCGATCCCGTCAGCTGTTCCGTCGCAAGCAACTTGACCGAAGGAATCATCATTCCGCCCGTCCAAAGTGCTCGACTGACCACCAAAGGAACAAAGAGCATCAAGTACGGTAAAGTCGAGGTGCGCGCACGCATGCCGACGGGTGACTGGCTCTGGCCCGCCATCTGGATGATGCCTCGCGATGAAGTCTACGGACCGTGGCCCAAATCTGGCGAGATCGACATCGTAGAGTCCAAGGGCAACCTTCCGACCAAGAGATCACAAGAGCTCGCCAACGTCGTCAGCTCCACCTTGCACTGGGGGCCCTTTTCCTACTTTGATGGCTACCGGCTCACCCACGACATTGATCGCGTCTACCGAAACTTTTTCAACCAAAAGTTCTACACGTTTGGTATGGAGTGGGACGAGGAAGGCATCACCGTGTGGAGAGAAGTGCCCTCCAGGCCCTTTTTCATCTCCAAGTTCAAAGTCGACCGCTACGAGCTTGGTGGCTTTCCACGCTTTTCGGACAACGGAACGGCCATCGTCTCACCGTGGGGAGGCTCGAGCAACAAAGCTGCAGCTCCTTTCGACCAAGACTTTTACCTCATCCTCAACGTAGCAGCTGGAGGAACCAACGGGTACTTTGAGGATGGAGACATTAGCAAGCCCTGGTCCAACAGCAACAACGTCACCAAGGCCAGATCCGACTTTTGGGCTCAGAGGAACACATGGCTCCCCACTTGGCCCTCCGACCCGAGCCAGCGCGGCATGGTCGTCGACTATGTTAAGATGTGGCAGCTCGGCAAATGCACCTCTTGATCATCGCCATCGCCATCGTCGCCGTCCGCGCTCTCTGACTCTTTGCTCTTCTGATTGATCTTCTTGTCACGTCTTTACCACATACTTGTCTCGTCGCTCGTTTCTGCAATCCAATGCCGATCTAGAAGAACCTTGAATTCGATTGTTGTAGCGAGTCCACGACTCTTCCGAGACTTACAGCGCGAACCGACGTGTTAGGTCGCCTTTACCAACGGTGCAAGCGCCGTAACATAGAAACAGCCTGGACCTGGGTGCGCATCTTGTCTTCTCGGTTGCCGTTGCCGACCACTGTGAACGCGGTCGTCGCTCGACTTTATGCGCAAGCGTGCTCCACGAAATATCGACTCTTGGCACGTAAACAGACCGGCCATCACGCTCATGAACGCGTAGAATGTCCCTTTCCCCCTCCCAAGCATGGCGTGCAAGATCGAGCCTCCTGGCTCGGGCCGGCCCGCGATGGTAGCACACCTTTTCTGTGCGCCTCCAAAGTGGAAGCACAACGACACTGCCCCTTGCACAGCCTCGCCTCGCCTCACTCTGTAACGGCTTCAAACCGCGTGCCTCTCCGTCTGACCAAGGGATCGTCCAGACCAGGGATGGAAATGAAACCGGGCAGCTTCTTGATCGCCGCTATCCAGGCCAAAACGCTAGGATAAGCCTGCAGAGATACATCCCCCATGGGAGCAAGGGCAATATAGACGAAATTCGAAATGTCCGCAATGGTGGGTCTGTAGCCCACGAGCCAACCATCGCCCTTGGCCAGTTCTCCGTCGATGATGGCTAGCGACTTGTGCGCGCGCACTTTGGCGTCTGCTAGACGCACCTGCAGCAACGCATCGTCGGACGTGTTTTGGCCCAGACCATTGTATGGCCCGCCGTACGAGAGGATGGCCCTAGCGGTAAAGACGCCGTGCTGCACCCATCCGTTGGCGAAAGCGAGCCACTCGATGATCTTGACTTGTTCCAGCAAATCTTGCCCGTAATAGGATGATGGTCCTGTCCCACGCCTGCCCGAGTCGTCGTACGTAGCGGCAATGTAGGCCAGAATGGAAGATGAATCGGTCAAGGTGGTCTGATTGTGGACCAGCGTCGGGACTTCGGCTTTGGGATTGATGGATCGGAACCAATCGCTCTGCTGCTCTTGACTGAGGAAATCGAGATTCTTGACAGTATGCGGTACGCCCAGAAGCGCTAGCAAGAGACGCACCTTGTAGCTGTTGCCCGACTCTGGCCAGCTGTACAGCGTCAGCGTGTCGGTGGAAGAGGCGCCGGCGGCCGCTGTCGTAGACGCGGACATGATCGAAAAGCGCGCGAATGTGAATGTATGCGGCGGTCGGCGGGTGCGAGTCGTGGATGCTTAGATCATAAGAAAAGGACGGGATCTGTGCAATGGTATCGTGTAAAGCATGCGTGGAGCACCACACACATCGCGCTGCTTCTCTTGCATGGCGTGCTCTCCGCGTGGACACGGAGCTTGCCTTTGGCGCATCACGTGATGCTGCTGGAACGCACGGATCAGCCGCCGGCGCGTCTTCGTGTTTCGGCAAGCAGCGTTCGGCTGTTGCAACAGCGCCTCGACCGACGTTCACCGTTGCTCTCTCACACCGCACCCGCACGCGCTCTACACTCGCGAGCTCATCCTTGCGCACACCGACTCACAGGCGCCAATCATGCGACGTCTGAGCCTGATGCTGACCTCGCTCTCGCTCTCGCTGTTGATCTGGGCCAGCATCTTCAGCGAATCGATTGCCTCATCGGATCACAACGACACCCAGGCAGACTCGTCGCTGTGGGGCACCTATCGACCAGGTCTATACTTTGGCGTGCGCGCTCGACTGCCCGACTCTCCCCTCTTTGCCTTTTCGTGGCACGGCCTGCAAGACTACAATACCTTTTCAAACACCCGCTTCGAAGCTGGACAAGGCGGTGATGACATTCAATCGTACGGCTGGACCCATCACGATGGACGAGGATACGGTAAAGAGTGGATCGTGGATAACAAGGTGAATGTCAGGCTGCAGATAGAGTGGATCAGAGTTTTGCACGGCTGGACCGCCAGGATCAGCGGTGAGCCCATCGACGCTGGTGAGTGAGCACGAGTGTATGCGCTGGCGAGAGCTTCGGCTCAGCACCAGTATGCGCATCTGTCACGCAGCGCGACCCTGCTTGGTGATGAGCTACCTGCACATCTCATCGCGCACCGAATTGGAGGCCACCTTTGATGAGGACGCAGCAAACGACATTGGTGGACTGCCGGCGCATCCCGCGACGTCGCAGCACGAACCGTTCGTGACGAGCACGCACGCGGATGCTCGCATAGGCAAGTGGACTCTGGGAGTGCGAGAATCTGCAGAGGTCAGAAATCAGCCGGCAGATGCAGAGGAGCCGGCCGAGCAGGCGTGGAGTTTCCTAGGCGAAAAGGTGGATCAGACTTGGGATACGCAGAGTGAGTCGGCGCCCCGTCGGTGCTGCGATGCCGCTCACCCGCTCATCCCAGGCTCGACTCGACTCGACTTACCTCGCACGCGCGCTCCCCCCCCCCTAGCCATGATCGATCGAGCGAATCAGGATACGATCAGATCGCACTTGCAAGAAGTTGGTCACGAGAATGTCCCTCCGCCGGCTCATCTGCTCGCTCTACCCAACGAGCTGGCCAGCTCGACCAATGCGGTGGCCTTTGCGCGCGGGTTCCAAGGCGCCTTTTCGTTCGATGTCTACTTTACCACAAACGGCGCCGAAAAATCTCTGAGTGGCAAGGAGCTCACAGCTGCTCTATCTGCGAGTCGGGAAGCGTACGACGAGCGCTTCGATGGCGTGCTCGGGCTCGCAGCAAAAGGCTACGACTCTGCTCGTGTCCGATTCGCAAAGGAACTGACGAGCGGCTTGATAGGAGGCATCGGATATTGGGCCGGAGCGGGCGTGGTGGACAGGAGCTTCAAGCACCCGTGGGATGAGAGTACCGGAACAGGAGCGATGGACTTTGATGAGCTCGCCACTACTGAACCGGATCCGCGTCTAACGGAAGAGATGCAGCTCTTTAGCGCAACGCCTAGCAGGAGCTTCTTTCCGCGAGGCTTCTACTGGTGAGCGTAGGGTGCGGTCGCCTGCTGCTGATGCTTTGCTCAGACTTTTGCGCCGCCTGCAGGGATGAAGGCTTTCATCTGGCGCACATCGGAGTCTGGGATAATGACCTGAGGTGAGAGGTTGGACGCTGCGTCGCCGCGTCGCCGCGTCAGCGCAACTGCTCACAGTAAGCTTGCGCTTTCTTTGCAGCCTCGAGATTCTAGAGTCTTGGATCGATCTCATCGACGACGATGGCTGGGTTGCTCGCGAACAGATCCTGGGTGATGAAGCCCGCAAGCGGGTGCGTGTCATCGCGCAACGCACTTGCGATCTGGATTGCTGACCTCTTTTCTCGCGCATACAAAGGTGCCGCGCGAATTTCAGACGCAATACCCTCTGTATGCCAACCCGCCAACCTTGACGATGGCTTTGGGCATGTACATTGATCGTCTCATGGCTGCGCAACAGCAGGGTCAAGGTGCTGCCGGAGACGTCGCGTTCGACGCTTCTTTTGGTGGCGACGCATCGCCTCAGCAAGTCTTTGGCTCGCGCTCGCGCTCCTCCTTCTCCGAAAGGCACCTCAACGACCCGGATCTCGCCCGCTCTTTTCTCGCGCGCATATATCCCAAGCTGCGGACGCACTATCAATGGTTCAGGAGAACACAACGTGGAGAGATTGAGCAGTGGGACAGGACGGCGAGATCTCGAGAAGCCTACAGGTGGAGAGGCAGAACCAAGACTCACGTGCTGACTTCGGGCCTGGACGATTATCCGCGCGCGCAAACGCCTCATTCTGGCGAGCTGCACTTGGACCTGATCAGCTGGATGGGCTTCTTTGCGCAGACGATGCAAAAGATTGCAAAGGCGACTGGAGAGGAAGTAGACGCAACAGAGTACGAGGAGCATTACAAGGGCGTACTAGAGAACCTCGAAGGTGAGTGTGGGTGCGCGGGTGCGCGGAATCGTCGCAGATCTGCTTTTCTGATGATGCGCGACGCGCTCCGCGTTTAGATCTGCACTGGAGCGAAAAAGACCAGCTGTATTGCGATGCTGCGGTGGACGAAGGTGGTGAGTCGACGCGACGCGACGCGACGAGGTCTGGTCGAACCCATCGTTGACCTCCTCCTCCATCAGACACCTCCTTTCACGTTTGTCATCGGGGCTACGTCTCCCTCTTTCCATTCTTGCTCGGCTTGCTACCGACAGACAGCCCGCACTTGAAGTCTATACTCGACATGATCGAAGATCCAGCGCATCTGTGGAGCAAAGCGGGCATCCGAAGTCTGAGCAAGCAGGACGTCTTGTTCGGCAAAGACGAGGGTGAGCGCGCGCGCGCGCGCGACAACTTTTTGTGCTCTGCTTCGATTTACAGACTCATTCTCTGCGCTCTTCTCCGTCAGACTACTGGCGCTCTCCCTCTTGGGCACCCATGAACTATCTCGCCTTGGGAGCGTTGCACAAGGTGCGTAGTCCTCTTGCCCCTACGGCGCACCGTCATCCCTCACACCTCGCTGCACTCCCCCACCACTGTAGAAGTACGCTGCGCTGCCTGGTCCGCACCAAATGCGCTGCGGGAAGCTGTACGAGGAGCTCAGAAGGACATTTGTGGACAATGTGTACCAGGTGCGGGTCCCCCCCCCCCCCCCCCCCCCCCTTCTCTTATCGAACCCAGATCTAAGCGACGCACGCATTGCTGATTACCTCTCTTGTCTGTGCGCCCGTAGGAGTACAAGCGCACCGGTTTCGCGTGGGAACAGGTGCGTTCAATCTTTTACCCCCAAAGATTTGCTCGATGCTGATTCCTTACACGTTTTCCCCCGCGGCGCCCGAACAGTACTCTACGCATCCAGAGAGCGAAGGACAAGGCCGAAAGAACAAACCGTTCACTGGCTGGACGAGCCTGGCGGCGCTCATGATGGCCGAGATATACTAAAGAGTGACTGCACCCCCCCTTGCAGCAACATCGTCGTCGTCGTCGTCGCGTCGCGTACGCCCGCTTTTGAACGATGCGCATTGCCGAAAAGCGTGTGTGCGATGCGTGTGTGCGATGCGTGTGTGCAATGCGTGTGTGCGATACATGCCAGCTGCTAAAGCGCACCGCACGAGATGCAACGCCCGGATGCAACGCCCCCTTGGACCCTCCTCTTCGCCGCCCGCTTGCCCCCCCCCTACTCAATTGTTCTTTTTGCTGCTGGCGGAGTCCTTGGCAGGTCGAGGTTCTGGCGATTCGATGCTCGCCAGCAGGTTGATTGTAAAGTAGGCGATGGGGATGAGGATGATAAAGGTGATCAGGAGCGCCAACAGCAGTCCACTGCAAAACAGTCGGAGCGCGGATGCGTGTCAGCGGAACATGTTGCGAGGGAAATCGTCAGCGACCCTCTGGGCGCGCGTCCAGAACTCACCTGGAAAAGAATTGGTACTTGTGGAATATACCGCGGTCGAGGTCGCTCGATCCATCCTCATCGTCGTCGCCCTTCAAGGCGCGCTTTGATACGCGAGGAAGAGAAGGTGCAGAGGTGATGATGATCAGATCGTCCGAGTACTGCTCGAGGTGCTGAGCGAGCAAGTCTGGGATGCAGTTGCGGTGCGGTTATGGAGAATGTCAGGTGTGACCGAGGCTCACGACGGCATGCACACAGAAGCGAAGCGACGCCCACGCCACCACTGACCTTCTTGCTCGAGAAGGCGCTGAGGCAGCACGACGCGCAACACTCGACTCGGAGCTTTGTTGCCTCCTGTCAATTTTTGCAGCAGCGTCTGGGAAGAACAAGCCTTGTTGATCTGCCTTGCCAACTCTCGCGCTGCGTTGCCCGGAGATGCAGAGACGTGCTGGAACGTCAGTTGAAAAGGCGCGGATAGAGCTCGTCGTCTGAGCACGTGGGAGGAAGAGAGGCTGGAGAGCGTAGAGTGCGTGAACTGGTCGAGCAAGCAGGGGCGCGCACGGAGTGTTAGCGGAGCGGGGCCCAAGGGAAAGGGCGACGCGCGCGCGCATCTACTCACATCCTCGATTTCGATCAGCACCACGTTCTCCACCTTCTTCTGTCCCTGCTCAGCAGTCCCACAAAGAGCTGCCTTGTCGCTAGTGAGCGCCCTAGCGATCTCGCGCGGATCAGCAGCTGGTCCAGCGCGAGAAGCAGAGTGCAGCTGCGGGTCGAGCAGTGTGGCGTGACGAGAGGAGAAGAGCAGCATGGGAGAAGTGTCGATGAAGTTGGCTGATGCTGTGCTGATCACCATCAGCAGGATCAGCAGGGCGCTCGGTGCGCTCAGCATCATGCGCGGCACCAGGGAAGCGGCTTTCATGATTGTATGCGATGTGGGGGAAAGCGGATGTGGAATGATGGGGCTGATCGTGAAATCACGAATGTACGCTGACTGCTCCTCGTTCTCGTTGTTGTTGTCCTCGTCGTCGTCCTCGTGGCTGTGAAGGTGGAGTCAAGAGTCGCGAGTCGCGAGTCGCGAGTCGCGAGTGTCGATGGCCAAAGGGGCAAAAGAGGCAAGTGGTTGCCTTGCCTGCCTGCCTGCCTGCCGACCGCCGCCCGTGCACGCAGCACCCACGCTCGTGCCTGCATGGCTGCGAGTTCAGGAGGTCAGACGCGCTACTCATCACGTGATCAGCGTGCACGAGCGTCCGAGGAACCACGCACGCACTGGCTGGTCTCTCTGCTGCTGCTGCGATATGCTCTCGCGACTCACGATTGTAGCGAAGTTGGGCGCGAGTGTATGAATCGCACTCTCAGCTTTCCACAATCATCTCAAGGCGAATCGGATGCATCAAGCGGCCACCAAACGTGGCGCGGTCAACGTCAAGGAAGAATCACAATGGCGTGTGCGCGCGCACTCAAGGCTCGATCCAAGAAGTCGAGACTGCCGCGCGGATGGATGTGCATGGAGGACATCCGAGCACGAGCCACCGGTCCGCATGAGTCGTGAGGGTGGCACCGCGAAAAGCGTGTACCGTACCTACATGTGCGCAGTCCCGGACGGGCCGTGTGTCACACCCTCATCCTCGGCATGATCAGCACCATGCGACTCGAAAAAGTCGTCGTGAGTGATTGCGCAGGCACGAGTCTTGCAGCTCGAGCCTCGTGATGCACAAGTCTGCCCAAAGTGCGGACCACCAAACGCCTTTTAGCGTGACTGCGTGACTGTCGCACAAGCTTTTGCTGCTGCGATGCCATTCATTTGCCATGCAGACGCGGGTCCTCGTCAGGTGCGACCAAAGGATGACTCTCTGGCCAGGCTCTGAGCAGGCATCGCCACGTCCATCACGATCATCACCGGGGGGGGACATCCCAGCGAAGAGCTTCGCGCGGCTTCGCGCGGCTTCTCTCACCAAGTCGGGCCATCCCGGCACACATCATCCAATCACACTTATGACTCACGCAAAAATGACCGAACCAGCGTTTATACGCACCCGATACGAGCAGTACAAGCGGGACACGCAAGAGATTGCCAATTGGCTCGGTCGAGAGGCTATCCGGCATGACTTTCCGCTGGGCAAGCTGGCACGATTGGCCGAGAAGACGCCTGCTGCGAAGCAGGTCTCGAAAAGCACATCGACTACCAGCGATGCATCCGTTGCGGGTCTGGGCTTGCTCGAACGCTCGAGTCTCAACAAGCAGCCACATGCGCAGCAGACCGCAGACGAGCGCGCAGGGAACGACACGACAACGCGCTGGCAAGGCAGATTCCTCCTCAAGACGTCGCAATATACCGAAATCGCAAAGCATCTGGTGGACAAGGGTGTAGAGATTCCGCAGCAAGTCAAGGATTTGGTGAAGCGATGCAGCCATAGGAGGACGCAATTCTTGCGCGACTCGGCAGACGATGCGTCGTACAAGCGCAAAGGTCACTTTTACTTCATCGCGGTGCTCGACCATGTCGGCGAGATTTTTGCGCGGGATCGTGCAGCACAAAAAGCTGCACTTGCGGCTAGGACGCGCGTCGAGACTGCTCCGAGCGCGTCAGCAACGTCTTCGAATGCCTTTGCTCCTCTGAGCGATCTAGAGGACATGCACCCGATAGACGTACCTGACGTCGAGCTACCGCCTAGCTCCGCTCAAGGAGACAAAGATCCAGCAGCAAACGCCTTCTTTGAAGTGCAACAAGACCGCGCTTATGCGCTCTTGCTTTTGCTCAACTTTTTCGACGACCTTCACGAGGTGCGCGCATACATCAAGCAACTGTGGGTAGATCACCGAGAGGGCAAGATCGATCTCATGACAGCTGCGATCACGAGCAACACGGCATTGGAGCTGCTGCGAAAACCTCACGACGAGGTCATGCAAAAGGTCCATGCGTTCTACTCCGATTGGACCGACGTCATGCACGCCCTGTACATTTTCCGTCAGCTCGAGATCGCTCCGCCAAATCAACTGCGCTTCGATATTCCGGCGTTTGGGGATGCGTCGCTAGAGCACGCGGCTCGTTCCGTTCGCGACGCGCTTGAACACCTTTTCCTACCCAACACGCAGATTCTGCGAGGCATAGCGCAGACGATCGATAGCAGCGGACCGCCAATGTACAGGCCAGGCTACTTTGGCACCTACCAGCCTACGCAGAACCCAGAGGCTTGGAGCTTCTCGAAGAGATGTCAGCAGCTTCACATTTTGATCTCCGAGACGCTTCCAGAGTTCTTGATGGTGGTGAGCATGGACCTCACCTTTGCCTCGATGCTGCCTCCAGGAACGCCGCCGGAAGTTTTGCAGCAATTTCAACGGGCAAATTCGGACATGAACGATTTCAGGGTGGACGAAACGGGCATCGAGATGGATCGGCTGCAGAGATCGCGAAGAGTGAGCTTGCTTCTCGTCTTCTTCTCCCAAGTCGTCGCGGATATCAATTGGACTTTGGGCAAGGCGTCCAAGACCGCTCTAGAGCAACTACGAAGCGCAGCAGGTCACATGTCCAAGACGATCAAGCAGCGATCGGCAGTCGAGGGTGGCAGGCATCCTCGTGACTGGGCCTCCACAAACGAAGAGCTCATTAGCGACTTTGTGAAGCGCGCCGATCGTTGGCACAAGGACGATTTGCTGACCACGCTGCGCAAAGACGCGGCAAAACATCTAGGTCGTCGAGTGCAGGATTACGACAGCTTGCTGCTTCCTCGCCATCCGCTCTTTTGCGGCGTGCTCCTTTTTAGATTGCAGCTCGAGTATCAAGCTATCGGATTTGCCCTTTCCAACACCTGGGCCAGCATCTTCTACACCGTGCATCTGGTCACGGCATGTCGACACTCGGAAGCCTCGCAAAACGTGACGGAACAGATAGAGTGGCCAGACGTGGATCTGATCATGGATATGCACGGCGCGCGCGACATTTTTGCAGGCCCGATTCCGAAGAGCATCATCGATTCTCAGTGCTCCTTTATGCTTTGCCGAGGCTACCCACCAGACTCCATCGAGGCGTACAGACGTTGCCTCTCTGGCAGGATCACGCAGCAAGACGTCCTGCGCCTGGTCGGAGCAAACGAAAACGTGGCAAAGTATCGACCCAAAGCTCTCGAGGATCACTCCGTGATGCTCCTCATGTTCCAAAAAAAGTACAGGAGCCACCAGCAGGCTCACACGGAGATGGATATCCATTCCGTCGAAAAGTTGTTGTGCGATCTCAAGTTGAGGGAGGAAGCGCAGACAAAGGTCAAGGGCAAGTCGACGAAGAAGACGGCTGTGAATGCGGAGATGAAGAGGCTGCGTAGACAGCGCAAACATCAAGATGCGAAATACTCCATCGTGCAGCTATTGACTGTGCTGGAAGCAGGCTTGGTCTCGGAAACGCAGAGCATCCGCTTCGACTACATTTCGATGCATCTGCGATGTCTCGAGTACCTGCGTCGCGTCAAGGTGCGAGTGAACGACTACTTTTCCAGCAAGCTTGGTGCCAAATGGATCGACAATGACGGAGAAATCCCATTCGTCGTGGGACACATTTTCAGGGCCGCAAGCGAGGGACAATTGGCCTTCCTTACGAACGAGTCTTTGAGATTCGCAAACATGCAAATGGGCAACGATGCTGCTGGCGGCATCATCAGAGTCAGCAAATCTCTGCTTGCGGCTACCGATGTGCTGAGGAGATTTTTGGAGGAGACGAGGCAAGGTGGGGTGGAAGTGGCCAAGATGGAACAGTCGGGCGCTGGTGGTGCGCGCGGGATTCCGCGAAAGTAGGCACGGCACGCAAGGCAAAGTTGCGCACTTTTTGCAGACCCGGACATGCGTGATCGATGTGTCCATGCAATCAATCATGCATCTTATTCGCTCCATCACTGTCTGTCTGTCGCTCTGACTGACCCCCAAGTATGTTGGCCAGCGATGGCCGGCGACTCGTAAAGTGATGGCTGTCGAGATTGAACATTTTTTGCAATGTGGCCCAAACCGTACCCGTACATGTTTGACGATTGACGCGATCACAAGTGCGATCTGTCGAGTGGTGCGTGCGGTGCGGTGCGTACGGTGGGCCGGCCGTGAATCACTGACACTGTGCATGCATGCATGCATGCACACCGCAGCCCAGCAGCAGTAGCAGAGAAGCAGCGCAAGCAAATGAGAACGACGTTGGGGCGCGCAAGGGTCCATCCATGCTGAGCGCGCGCGGCACGCATGACAGAAGCTGCATGCTGATGCGTACGCGTGCGCTGCGTGCGCGAGATTCAAGTCGTGAGTGATGAGCACGCAGCGCGCGTGCAGCAGCAGCGCCTGCACGATCTCGTTATTGCGGCGGCCAATGCTCTCGGCACTTGTGATCCGCTCTCGCTCGATCGCTTCGCGCCACACAACATTCACGATGCATATGCATGCATGCATGGTGCGTGCTTTTGCTGTGTAAGATGGATGCCCGGCGCGCGGCTCTTTGCAGATCCAGACCGCCGCGGGCGGGCCTTGGATGGTCTCGCGTCAATCACGAAGGAGAGCCCTGCATTCCCAGTCGAGTCGTGAGTCGTAAGTCGAGTCTCGACACACTCGTGACTCTACCACGATCGCAGGTGCGAATGATCGCTTGGCTTGGCGGAGATCGCGCTTGAGAGGTACGATCGATCCATCACATCCGGCCGCGCGCGCTGCGTGTATGCGCCCACACAGCCATCATCGCGACCGACCGGCTCTCGCAAAGCTACGTGCGGCAACTGGATAGCCCTACAGGAAGACGTCCGTATACACCTTGTGCGCCGTAGGCTGACCGTCATTCGTCGTGAGCGCGCAGCGAAGACGAGATGGCGTCCGGACCGGCATCCGCGCCGCCAGGCGGTGGCAGTCTGCCATTGCTGAGAGTCAGGAGCATAGCGCCCTTGCCCAGCTTCAGCATCCCGCATCCCATACCCTCGGCCAGCGACTCGATTTCCGCATTCAAACTCTCCATCCTCTCCATCCTCACCCTGCGAACCAATCCAGCATCCGCAACCTCTTCCACACCTCTCTTCGTCTCCGCTTCGGAAAGGCTCAAGATGGAGGTGTTGGAGGGATGGAGGAGGGAGATGGTGCTGCTAGAGCTTAGACAGAATGCAGTCATTGCGCCAGAGACGAGGAACAGCGAACGTGCTCGAGAGATGGATCAGGAAATCGTTGGCTTTGTGTTGGAGGATCATCATGATTGCGGTCTGCTCGAGGAAGGCGATGAGGTCTTGTGAGTCGAGTGGTCGCAGCGCAGTAGCACGCACGCACGCGCACGCACGCGCACGCACGCAGCTCACAATGGACATTACCCCCCCCCCCCCCCCACCCCCTCTCCCTCTCTCTCTCTCGCCGCCCAGAGTGCGCATCAAAGCCCCTCATACCCTGGCATCTCTCAAACTACCTCCAGTTCCCAGCGGACATACCTTTGGTCTGCCACCAGGGAGCTTGACCAGAGCTGGGACGCTCTCAGCGCCGCCTCCATACTCGGAAGCAGCGCCTCGCGAGCCATCCTCCCACAGCTCCTCGGTCGCTGGTCAGCCCAACGCCAATTTCCATCAGTACGTATACAGGGATGCTGCTAGGGGCGTGCGCGTCATGACCACTCAACAAGCCGCCATGCAGAATGGCATATACGGAGGAGTGTCGGGAGCGAATAGGGATGCGCCGGCCAATGGTCAGCATTTGGGCGTAACGGGCGCCAATGGGCTCAGCGCACCAGAAGCGAATCCGCGCAGGCTCGGACCGTCTAGACGCGCTAGCGCTGGTATCAATGGAATGCCAAAACCTGGCGCATACAAGCCGCCTCCCATCTCTCCGCCACCCGCAGAGAGCAGCGCGGCGGCTCCACGACCCTTGCGAAGACCTAGCTCGCGCGGCAACGTCCTAGCTTCCACTCCAGAAGTCGGTGTCGTCTCCTCGCCTCCGCATCAACAACACTTTCGCAGCACATCTTTCGGCTCAACTGGCTCCCCAGCCACGTCCTTCTTTCCAGCGACTGGCTCTGGAGCAGCAGCCGTCATTCCGGCGCATAGGCGGCGCAACACTTCAGACGAACCGGGCAAGGGCGCAGCAGCAGCAGCAGCAGCAGCACCCAACGGGGGCTCTGCGAGTCCTTCCCTCGCTGCCCCCTCGCCTCCTTTGGCGATGCCGTCCACAGCATTGGTCATTGGTCCAGGCGTGCAGGGCCGATTTGGAAACACACCAGCAGAACCGGTCTCGCAGTCTATTCAGAATGCAGATTATGGCAACGTCAAGCACTTTGCTAGTTTCACCGCGGCGGGCGGAGAGGTCAGACCTACGGCTTCATCTTCGAAAATTGGCGATCGCACGTCTGAACAGCAAAGACTCGGTGGAGTAGAGGGACAGGACGAAGTGCAGACTGCCACGCCTCTGGCGCAGAGTTCGCGGGAAAACGCAGCGGCCCTTGCAGCTGAGCGAGGAAGAGGCAAGCGAAAAGGATCGTATGATCAGCAGGATGTGGGAAGCGCTGCTACTCCCGGTGCTCCACCTCCTCTCGCTTCTCCACCGATCTTGGAGAATGAGCGCGATGCCAGATCCAAAGCTGCTGCTGATGCTGCGGATCGCCGAGCTGCGTTGGCGCGAACGCAAACCGCACAGCGCGATGGCGACGTCGCTGGGCCCTCGTCCATGCCGGCGGCTGCCTCCAAAGACAAGCTGCCTCCTACACCCGTGTCGACCGACTCTCCTTCTGCAGAGTCGCATGGATACAATCTGGTACATGCAAAGCCGGAGCGAACGCAGCAGGAGATCGACGAGCAGCTCGCCAACGATGCGGCGCTCGCTTTGGCCTTGTCGGAGGAGCATGAAGCGGAGAGGGTGAATGAGGCGCCGGCGTCGAGAGTGAATGAAGCGCCAGCGTCGCCTCTGCGCAAGCACAAGTCGTCGAGGCCTTCCATGGGAGGAGGCAGACCTAGCACTGGCACCAGCGCGAGTCTTGGTAGCGCAAGTTATGGCAGACCCAGCGATGCGCGATCCCGCAGCTACTCCAACGGGGCACGCAGCTCGCAGACAGGCGGCGGCGGCGGCGGCGGTGGCGGCACTACTCCAGCAGTGGCCCCGTTTGACCGGTACGTCGATGCGCAAGCGTCGGGGTCCGCAAGTCCACAAGGTTGGGGGGAAGAACTAGCTTCTCGGGAAGGAGCTTCTCGGGAAGGAGCTTCTCGGGAAGAATCTTTCAAGAAGGCCTCTTCCAAGTCCAACAACGGTGCCGCCAGACCGACCAAAGGTCTCTTGTCGCGCTTGGGCTCCTCTAATTCCGACAAGCCTAACGCGCTCACCTCGGCCGATCGCAAGTTTTTGGCTCGAAGAGCATCCTTGGACCGCGAAGTGGCTCGACAGGAAGCGGCCGAAGCTGCGCGCAAGAGGGAGCTGGAGAGGGGAAAGAGGAAGAAGGAGGAAGCTGCAAAGAGGCAAGAGGAGGTGAGGAAAAAGGAAAAGTATGCGAAGCAGTGGGAAGTGTGGGAAGAGGTTGGGAGGAGGGAGAGAAAGGCTGGACTGCCTCCGCCGGATGTGGTGGAGAGGGATGTTGGTGGATGAGAGGGGAGCAGAGAAGGGGGAAGCGAGACGAGGCGGTCTCTTTCCAGGTTCCTTTCGAGGTCCGCCTTCGTTTGGATGTGCAATGGAAGAGAAATTGCGAGTGCATGCATTGCTGAGCGTGAATGATGGTACGTGTGCGCGGGAGAGTGTTGCTCGAGCGATTTGAGCGATGCAAGCCCCCTCTCCGCAGATGGATGATGGGTCACGCGATCTTCGACACGCCGTCTTCTTCGCGAACTTCTAAGTCCAAGTCTCCTCGTTCAGGCGAGACGGAACTGCCAAACCATCGTCTCATTTGCAATTCTCTCTTTTGCTCTGTCTTGGGCTCTGCTTGCGCATCTTGCCCATCCGACGCATCATTCCCATCCGCTCCCTCCTCCTCAAAAGGCGTCTCGCACAAATGCTGGCGTGGCGTCGGAGGCATGAAATTGTGCCAGCCCTTGAACGGTTTGGCTGTTCCTGCAGGCACGAGAATGTTTCCTTGCATGATCCTCCTAGCTGTTCGGGTCATCACGATCGCCGTCGGTTCGGACCTTTTTTGATTTGAGCGCGACGCAGATCTCTTGGCAGAGGCGGTAGATAGACCTGCTGGTTGACCCACCGTTAGAGAGATGATGTCGGGAGAGTGCAAAGATGTGGACGTGCTCGGGGGAGAAGCGGTGCGGGTCGCTTGCGAGGAAGAAGGACTGATCTGTCCTCCGCTGGCTCGAAATGCGCGCGAGATGACAGAGTCATCGTAGCACAGAGCTGCCGTGGCCGCGCTCAGCGTCGTCGCGGGGACGGTTCGGTGGACTTGCTGTGGAACGCGGCAGGAACGGGCGCGTCAGGAACGGGCGCGTTACTTGCCGCATCCTCCGCAAGGCTGAAGCGAGAGCGCGCGCGCGTACTACTCACACCATTGCTCAAGGCTCTGATGAGCACATCCATCTCCGACGCTTCGATGCTTTGACCTCCCGTGGTCTTGTAGGCGGCTTTGGGATGCACGAGACAGATTTTGGGCGCAGGTGGAGAAAATTTAGAGCTCAAGCTAGCTGAGAGTTGACTCGCTTCGTAACGGATCTTTTCTAGGCGACGCATCAGCTCGCCGTCGGTTTCGAGTACCGATGGGTGGTCCACTAGCTGATCTAGAGGAATGCGCAGATCTCGAGCATCCACAAAGATGGTCGGAAGGCCTGTATCTGTCACTGTGACTTTCTGTGACGGGGGACCAGGATCTGAGACTAGAGGAGATACGCAATGCGAACGCAACCTCACACTCACTGTCTCACTTTCATCGATCTTGATCGAGTCTACTGGCCGGCCAGTTGGAAGCACGTCGCTCTCCAGGGGGCTCTCGATGACGATGGCCGGGCCTGTTCCCGGAACTCCAGCGATGCTGGCCTCTCCCTCGGTACAAGGCATCCACCTCTCAATCTCTTCTTCCCAATAGACAGGTACTCTAGCCTTGACGACCTTGCCTGTATCATGAGCCAATATCCTCAATACTGCCGAGGTTGTATCGCCGGCTTCGACTTGGGAGGATGGCGGCAGCGAAGCCGAGATCTGCGACGAACCAATCGCGCTGGACAGATGATAGTCTGCTACGGCGGCTACCAGATTGCCGCACGTAGAGCCCCAATCGATCTGCGTTCCGTTGATAGGTACCTGTCCAAAGCGATACACACAATCTGAAGCGCGCTCAAAGAGGTATCAGGATGCATCGCAAGCGCAAGGGGGGGCGAGGCAAAAGAGCCCGCGCGACTCACCCCAACCTCGTTCTGCATGCATGGACATCTCGAAATTCTCGCTCCATGCTACGCCAGGAAAGGGATGGCCAGCTATGCGCGCCAGCTTGCTCCAATCGTCGGCTGGTGCACTGACTATGGCGCACTTGGAGAGGGAGGAAGCGCCGCCTCCCAAGCCGGAGATTTGACGCATATCCGGGTCGGGCGAGCCTGAAATTGGGGCATGTCAGCACGAGAGAGAGACGGGGTAAGCGAGCGGGGGCGGCGATGCAACGCCACGCGAGAATTCTGCTCACCCACTGCGTGTGGACAGAGGGGAGAAAGCAAGCGTTTATATGAGTCACCGCTCCATGAGCTGCCGGAAATGACTCACTAGCGGCGCATATGATGCGATCGCGTGTAGGCGCATCAAAGCGAGCCAAGGAGCTCGGCGAAAAGATCAGACCCCTGCTCGTACCTGCGTGCGGTATCATGACATTCCCATCGCAGACGACGAGCAGAGCAGCGTACAAGGACACGTTGAGAAGGAACAAGAGGTGAGAGTGAGCGGAGCATAGCATATACGCCACCATTGCCGCACTGCACTCCCAAGGAGACGCACCGCCGCGATAGAAAGTGGCGGAGATGGATCGCAGGTGGTGCAGCGCGTGCAGCGCGTGCATGTGCGCGCTTGCGGATGCCATCTTGACCTCGACGAGACGATCGAGTGCATGGGCGACGTCGCTGCCTCCCTCTTCCTCCAGAGGACTTCTTTTGCCAGTTCCTGTGGAACGGAGCGTCCGCCTATAGTGGCCGCTTTGGAATGTATGATGATTGATCTGCTCCTCCACAGTCTTGCACGCTGCACGCTGCACTCTTGCCTCTTGATGCTTGATTGCACTCGCGATGTGGCTGTCGATGTGGTGGATGTGAAGCAGAGCAAAGGAAGGGGAGGAGGAGGGGACATGCTAACCCCCCCGCCCGCCTACTCTCGCTCGCCCGCCCTTTGCCCCTCCACTTTTGGCGCGCGGCCACGCGGGGCGGCTGTGCAACACGTGATCGTGCCCCCGATATACGCTAAAAGTGGACAGGCGCGCATGAGCACCGACGGGGACTTCGGACACGATCTTCCCAGCAGCGCAATCAATTAAGCGCAGCGAACGAGCCAAGTGAACGGGAAGGGAGGAGGTGAGGTAGGCGCATGTATGCGATGCGGTCCTTGCTGATGCACATCAGCAGATCAACACTCGTGACTCACCACTCTGACCGCGCACTCCTCGCACTCTGATGACAATTTCTCTCTCTCTCTTTCTCTCTCTCTCTCTCTCTCTCTCTCTCTCTCTCTCTCTCTCTTTCTCTCTCTCTCTCTCTCTCTCTCTCTCTCTCTTTCTTTTGCACTCGTGACTCCCCTCTCGACTTGCTGATCAGCAGCATGTCTTCTCACACCCCCGCATCGCCGCCGCCTGCCATCAACATCACCTCCCACTCTCGCGCCTCCGCTCATCTAGCCCCCTCACGTCCTTCAGGCTCTCGCACCGCTTCATCATCACGCTCACTCAGTGCTTCCTCCGCCAATGTCAAAAGCACCAGCACCCAAGAGTCTCGGACCGGATCTGAGGAAGAGGGGACGACGACGATGATGACGATGATGATGATGCCTCCTCCGCCGAAGATTCCTGCTTCGAGGCTGTGGGACGCGAGCGAAGCGAATGTGGTCAGATCCAGATCGGGCACTGTGCTCACCAGAGGATTGGTGCTCAAGGCGGATGGCGGAGGTGAGTCGGTGTGGCTGTGCTGGGGCAAGGAATGCGTCGTGGGAGCTGCTCTCTTGCTGTTGTAGGACTGCTCGACTGCTCGACTGCTCGACTGCTCGACTGCTCGACTGCTCACTTGCTCACCTCCTGCGACGCTCAACACTTTACACTTCAGCCAAACGTCCGCGTCTGGATTTGCACCTGCAAGGTAAGGCTTCTACTCTCTCGCGCGCGCCGCTCCCCTCGAGCACTTCTCCTGACCAGTCACGCCTCTCGCACGCTTGGCACAGGCGCACCCAACTTTCGAAGAGCTGATTGCGACGAAGTGTACGGCTGTGCTCAGCCCACTTCGGCAGGTCTACGAGGCGTGCTGAGCGTTCTCAATTGTCAACCTGCTGGAAGCTCTTCCTACGCGCGAGGCAGACCGATCGCAGGTGGTGTAGCTGCCGCACGATCACGCAGTGCGGATGTGAAGCGCGACGGCAAGAGGAGCAATGAGGCGGTGTCGGCTAGTCCTAGACTGGACGCGCTGCCTGATCAGGCGCGTGCATTGGATACGAGCGCAGAACATCGAGCTGCTTCTGCTGATCCACGAATTGCGGAAGCTCAAAGAGCGAGGGAGAGGAGTTCGACGAGGCAGGCGGGTGGAACTGAAGAAGAAGAAAAAGCGCCAACGCGCAAATGCGTGTGGTTCTGCACCCGAGAGGTGAGCGAGAAAGCGCAGACTGCGAGTCGGGCTGCAGCAGCACCTAGCTAATGCGCCTCTCCGCGTCGACACCAGGAACCGATCATCTACATTGCCAATCGACCATACGTGCTTCGGGAGCTGGACAGTCCGATGCAGACGTACAGCATTTCTCAGAGAGCCGATAATCTGGAAGTGATCGAGTCGAGATTGAAGCAAGATCTGCTGAGGGAAGCTTCGAATTGGGGAGGCCTAGTCTTGGTGCACGAGGAGGATGAGGAACAGAGATTGACGCCTTCGTGGGTCGCTATAGAGCCTGATACGGTGCACACTGTGAGGGAAGTGTACGAAAAGGCAAAGGCGGAAGGATGGGCAGTGGATTATTATCGCATTCCCATTGCTGCCAGTCAGAGCATCGAGGATAATTAGTGCGTCGATGTGGCGATAGCGCAGCTTCATCGCCTATATAATCTGACGCGCAGCACTCCCCGCTCCTGCGGACTCAGCCTCGATGCGTACGTGCGCATCCTCAAAGAGCTCGATCCGCTGCGCACCTCGGTCGTGGCAAATTGCGGCATAGGAGCTGTGCGAACGACGATGGCGATGGCGACGGCGGTCATCATTCGACGCAGACAAATGATGGTGCTGCACGGCTACGATTCGCTGAGCATCGAGCTGCACAAGTATGGCTCGCACTCCAACTCGCACGGATCGACAGCGGATGGGAGAAGACCTTCGGCGGGTGCCGCCAATGCCGGACCCCAGGGTATGGGAGATGCGCTGGCGAGAGCTTCGGCTCAACACCAGTATGCGCAGACCCTGCTCAGGCTTATGCAGCTGCTTGCAAATACAGTCGGAAGCAGCAGCAGCTTTGACTCGAGGACTATTCTAGACACTTTGCTAGGCAATCCTTCCCTATTTGACGCGTTCCAGAGAGCATTTAGGGGAGACTACGGCATCATCAGGTCGTTGTGTGGGCTGTTGGAGAGTGAGTCGAGCGGGCGCTCCCGGATCCAGAGGAGTCGCTCATACCTTGTCACCCCGTCGCAGAGGGCATCGAGAGCAAACGCGTGGCGGACATTACGCTGGATGCGTGCGGCGCAGTCGTCAACCTGCGCGAGCAGATCTTGACGGAAAGAGTAGCCTTCGCAGTGGCCAAGCATGATCCCAAAAAGGCCGACTTGGCGGATGTCCAAAGAGATGCGCTTCACGTGCGAGGCGATCATGCGGCTGCGCGACTGGGTCGAGCAGTGCGAACGCTGGAGCAGTACGTCTCGCTGGTCGTCTTTGCAGAGTACAGCAGCGGGAGCGAAACTGCTGCGTTCACGCATCGATTCAGCACGTACTTGAAAGGGAGACCGGAGGTGTGGCACACGATCCTCAGGATCAGAAGCAAAGGAGCCCAGCTTTACCTTTTCGACCCCTTGCAGGATCTCAGCATACTTAGCAGACCAGGCGCGGGCTTGCCAATGTCCAAAAGTCAAATCATGGGAGGCAAGTCTGGCCTGCATCGAGCGGTTGGAGCGGCCACCGGCACGTCTGAACAACCTGGAGACGAGTTTGCCGACCACATTGTCAGGAGCAGAGCAGGAATCGTGCTTCGTGCAGGCATGCTGTGAGTAGTGGACTGCTACGCGCGCGCTCGGCCGTCGCGTTGCCCAGCTCACAACTCTAGCGCACGACCACGCAGCTTGAAAGAAGATGTTTGGAGAAATTTTCTGCAGCGCAATGTCTTGTTGTCTAGAGCTGCTGCGGGTGTGGGGACCGTGCCTGGAGCAAATCTGCTTCGCCGAGTACCCGAGACGAACATCTGGGTGACGGGACAGCCCACTACGCAAGGTATTGCTGGCATTCTTCGAGCCATTGCTTCCCAAGTCGCACCCGATCGCGAGGCGCGGGCGCGCAGCGCGGTGGCGGTGACGTGGCTCAATCTGCGAGAGGAACCGCTCTGTCTGATCAATGGCAAGCCGGTCGTACTGCGACAGCAGGGGTCTTCCTTGCGAAACGTGAGGGAATTTGCAGGCATATCGTGGGACCGTCTGACGCTGCTGGAAGATAGACTCAAGACGGACTGTTTGGCCGAGCTAGAACTGGGAGAGGGGAAAATTTTGCTGCATCACGAGACGGACGAAGGAGATGTGGCTCCCCGATGGGAAGAGACGCGCGCGGAAGACGTGCAGACGCTTCAGGAAGTCATGGATAGTGTAGCTGCTCAATTCGAAAGGGACGAAGCGGGTGCAGTGACGCTGTCCTACAGGCGCATACCCATGACGGCCGAAAGACCACCGGATCTGGCCGACTTTGACGCTATTGTCAGACTGGTCGTCAAGGCGGATCGAGAATGCGATGCGGCAATCGTGCTCAATGACCAGCTTGGTAGAGGAAGGGGCACCCTCGCAGCCGTCATTGTTCTGCTCATCAAACGCTGGATCGATCGACATCGCCGAAACGATGCTTTAGCGAGCTCGACGCGACGAGCAGATGCGGATTCGCAGGCGCAGGTGGATGACGTGTCTGGCTTGCAAGCCAAGGCGCTCAGCTACCACGTCATCAATACTCTTTTGCGCATCGTGCCGCACGGTTTGGAAGTAAAAGCTACGGTAGACGAGTGTGTGGACATGTGCGCGCAAGGCGGAGCTACGGCAGTGAACCTGCGCGAAGCGATCGAGCACTCTCGCTTGCAGGCCGAGGAGGCAGGAGAGACGAGCAAAAAGGGTAGATCCTTGTTGCAGTCTTCCATCATCAATCTGAGACGCTACTATGAGCTGTGCGTATTTCAAGCGTACCTGTCCGCTTCCATTCCGGACACGCTCGACTCGTTGCCCAGCTTTGAGCATTGGATCAAGCGACAACCAGTCTTGGAGACGCTTTCCGCCGAATTTGCAAAGGCGGCCATGCACACGGTGACGCCACTGCAAAAGTTGGACAACTTTGAGGGAATGGCGCTTCAGCAAGAAGTGCAGGATGTCGTCGCGAATAGGAATGGCGGTGTACTGTCGGCGTACACGATGCTCAAGTCGGACATGTTCCCTGGCTTGGTGAGTTGGCAACGTGTGTAGGAGCTTGCAGCAGCAGCCAAAGTAACCGAAGTTCATCGCACCTTCACTTCTCAGGCCAAAATCGCCCTCTCCCAGATCGAGGGCATCCCCAACCTTCGAGGCGTGTCTTTGGTACTGGATGCTAGCGGGGACACACCACCCCGAACGCCCGTCTCGACGGCCCCAACGGCTGCAGAGCTGAGAACTTGGGGACACGGCATGCCCTCGATTGAGGGTCTGCGCAAGGGCCTAGAGCATATGGGAGCTGGACCGGGAGGTTCTCAAAGAGTTGTCGCCTCTTCGTTGAGAGAGGAGCCGGTCCTGTTCATCAAGGGCAGACCTCACGTTCTTCGGCTTGCCGATCAGCCTTTGACCAATGGTGAGTGGGTGTGTGTGCGCTGAGAGAGCGCCTTCAAACGCGTTTGCTTACCCTGTGGTCTATCGCTCTGCAGTCGAAGCGACGGGCATCACGGTGAACGTGGTCGAGTCGATGGAAGCATCTCTGAAGGATGACATTTTGCTAGAGATTGAAAAGTACAATGGACGGGTGCTGCTGCACGACGAGCTAGAGCTCGAGGGAGGCAGGTTCGAAATCGTTCCGCAATGGTTCAGCGTATCCCCTTCCGAGGTCTTGACGCCTCGAGAAGTGTACGAGACGGTGGCGGCGGAAGGTTACCGGGTGGATTATGCCCGCATACCCGTTACGGACGAACAGGCTCCCGTACCTGCTGTATTTTCGGAGCTGGAAAGCCGCGTGCAGTTAGCCCTGCGGACAGACTCTAGTCCGGCTTTCAATTGCCAGATGGGCCGAGGACGGACGACTACGTGAGTGTGTTTTTGTGTGTCTCTCTCCCGCGGCGTGCGTCGGATAGGCTGGCGAATTTGCTGACGCGAGACCACGCGCGAGACGCGCAGTGGACTGATCATCGCCGTGCTCGTCACGACCGTGAGCCACTATGCAGAAGATCTCATCGCGGCCGAGAGCGGCTCTACATTCCCCAGCGCACTCTTTGGTCAGGTGTCTGGAGCCGAGGAGGGCAGCGATTTGCCATCGCAAGATGGCGACAAATTGTCGCTCATGGATGGCGCCAAAGATGCGATGGACAATAGGGAGGATGAGCTTTGGTTGGCTGGAGAGTATCGAAGCGTGCTCCAGCTCGTCGGCGTCCTTTCGCACGGCAAGATGGCCAAAAAGCTGACGGATCGGGTGCGTTGGAGAAGAGCAAGCAGAGAGCGCTAGGCGTCATGAACGCAGGCTCATCCCCCCCCCCCCCCCCTCCATCTTCTCGTCGCCTCGTAGGCCATTGACGCGTGCGATCAGGTGCAAAACCTCCGCAAGGCGGTCTACGACGCCAAGCTGCGTGCTGAGAATGCCGACGCGGGTACAATCAAGCATCGTCATCTCTCAAAAGTCTACAACAATTACTTGCAACGCTACGTGAGTGTGGGCGTCTGCTCGCCGTTGCGGTCTTTGCTTTTGCTGATTGCGCAATCCTGCTGCTGCTGCTGCTGCTGCTGCTGCTGCTTGACTTGGCAGGGCTATCTGATCGTGAGAACGCGCTTCGGCTCACCACGCTGCCTTCTCGCAATAATCTTACACGCTCTCTTTTTCACCACACTCTAGGTCTTCGCATCGTACCTGCTAGACAAGGCGCACTGGGCCATCGAAGGGGACGATCAAGACGACGCCAGATCCGTCGTCTCTAGAGCTTCCACCACCGTCTCTGCTGCCGGCGTCATATCTCAGGCGACGGAGGGAAGACATTTTCCTAGCTTTTTGGAATGGCTCAAACCGAGAAGAGAGATTTCTGACATTCTTCGAAAGAAGTTGGAATAGGGAGGCACGTCTTTTCACGTTGTCTGTAAGAGGGGCGCAATTCTGTGTATTGGGATGAGGTGTAGCATGCAAAAGCGCGATTTGCGATGCGACGTGGCTCGACGATGCTGATTTGTCTGTTGATGGGCCGTCTTTTGCTCAGCTTGATCGTACCCTGCATTTGCATGTGCTTGTTCAAGCACTCTTCGTGTTGGAAGACGTCATGCGTGCAACGTTGCCGCCCTGGCGTGCCGTAGAGATCAAGGCGCGTCAGCTGGGTTTTCAAGAACTAAGCTGCCAGGCGGCTAGGACAAGGTGAAGTGCCAATCGGCAGCACAACATGCACCGCAAAACTCACGCTCAACAACGTCTTGATCCTTCCGTTCCACCTGTTGTTCATCTCCTTTTTGGAGCGCGTGGTCATGTTGTACTTTTTGCTGAGAGACTTGAGAGCTGCATCGATCGCGTTGTAGTCGGGCGTAAAGGAGGCAAGGATGGCATCGAGAAAGACTTGATCCTGCGTATGGCGTTGGGGGAGGTGGTGGAGTAGGAGCGAGCGGGATAGGAAGAGCAAGGCGAGCGAGAGGGATGGAGTGAGTTTCGGCTCGGCTGTTCGCGCAGCGCAGGTCCTTCATGGAGAACATGCAGTCCCTTCTCACCTCTGCGGCGGTCCATGGGGGGTTGCGCTGCGGGTGATGTGGATACGGTCAGCGGGTCATGTGAGCGGCGCAATGGTCTGGACACGAGGGGGGGGCGGACGTCGAGCCAATCGCCCCCCAGAACAAGATTCGGCCTTTGCTCACAGCTTTGCCCTCTGCAGCATCGTCCTCCTTCTTGGCTCGCTTAGCTGGACTCTTTTTGGGCGTCTGCTGCGAAGGTGCTGCACGTCCACGTTTCTTGGGCGCGACAGTCGATTTGACCTCTTGCTCTTGCTCTTGCTCTTGCTCTTCTTGGTACTCGGAGCCCGAAATGCTAGGCTCGGGAGTCAATACATCCCCCTTGAGCTCAGCTTCCTTTTCTTCTGCTACATCCTCTTGCTCTTGCTTCGACACTTGTTCGCCCGTCGAGCCTTGTTGAGCCGACTTGTCGCTTTGAGAAGGAGAGGGCGAATAGGGTGGAGTAGGAGTGTCGGATAGACCTCGCTTGGGTTTGGTAGCATTCTTGGGTGGCATGATGAGCACTTTTGTGGAAAGGGCGGGGAAGAGCGGTGGTGACGGTGGGCAAGGCGAATCACTTGAAGGGACTGGAGAGAGCTGCGAGTTGAGAAAGGGAGTTGTGTTCAAGAAGAGAGCCTCAGATTTTCGTCGGGAGGGGGAGCGCACGATGTCGAGCTGGTCTGCGCGTTGCTTCCTTGGCCCCACGCAATGGCGAAAAGAGCTCATCAGCGATGCCTTGTCTCATTCTCGCTTCGTTTTGCATCCATCATCGGATCTTGAGCGGGCGTGGCTGTTCGAGCGATGGGTTCAACCAGCGCTGGATGTTCAAGCCACATTTACCCGCCCGCCAATCCATCAAATCAAGAGGGTGTCCATTCGCGCAGTCTGATCCTTATGCAAGACATTGCTCGAGGTTGATTGATCACCCAGAGCAATCAAAATTTGTAATCTGCCAGCTGCGCGGCAACAAGACAGCTCCTCGATCTGGACGTGTTTTGCATTTCACGGATTGCAGTGGTGAATCGCTTGATTGATTCGTTCATTTGGCTCGAGTGGACGTGCACGAGCGCGAGCGCGATGCGTGCGTATGTGTGAGTCGAGATGGTCATTTCTCGTATACGCCGTCAGCATGTGCAGATTGGTGGAGCAGCATGTATGCTGCAGCGACGACACCTCTTGATCGAGTCTCGACTGCTGATCAGCCTCAGATGAAAGTGTCTCGTCCACGCCTCGTGTCGAGAGTGATACAAAGTGCGACGTCCATTGCATCGAGCCTCGCAACATGTTTCACATGAATGAACCCTCACTTCCAGCATCTTCCTCTTCGCTTTGCTCCTCTCGCACTCCTATCCGCTCAGCATCATCTCCTGCCGCACTTTTCTCCTTTTCCTCCTGCGCCTTTGCTCTAGCTTTGCGTTCCTTTTCCTCCTGCGCCTTTGCTCTAGCTTTGCGTTCCTTTTCTCTCTGCGCTGCCGAGATGGCTTCCGAAGAGTAGACTGCATTCGAGTGTGAGATGCGTCAGATGCTGATCAATCGACTTGCGAAATGAAGGTGCCAGCTCACGATTCGAGTAATCTTGCGAGGCTTTGGCTTCTTGTCTCGCACGCTGTTCTGCCAATTTCGCATTTCGCTGCAAGTTAAAAGTCCCGGCGCGTCAAAGAGAGGAGAGAGAGAAAGAGAGAGAGAGCATGATCAATCGGCAGACCGAAGCTCATCTGTGATTGGAAACCTGCGCGACCGACTGACCTCCTTCACAGCCACTTCTTTTCTCTCTCTTCCCTTTGCCCTTTCCCTTTCCTGCCTCACAGCCTCGTGGTCCACAAGCTCTTCACGCTTGGTCTTGTTGAGCCTGTTCAGAATCGCATTGTCTTTCGCTGCGATATGGTGACGCCGCACTATACGGTCGTTGTGGAATTGCACGGCTCCCGTTGCCAAGTCTCCAGTTTTCTTGGTGTGTGCGGCAGGGTCAGCGAAGAGTCGTTGCACATGATCCGAGACGATTCTCTCAGGGGCTTCTACTGGCCGCCAGCAAAGCCTTGTGCACGCACCTTGACGTTGGACCAAGGCGTGTAGATGATGGTGACCGTCTGCTTCTTGTTGCCTACTCGAGTGCAAGTTGTGCGATGGTTTAGGTGAGGGCAAGCAAACCACCTACACTACGCGTCCCTCACCTTCTATACTGTTCGCCTTGGTGAGCTGTCCAATATCCTCAAGCAAAGTCTTTGGTATTTCCTCCCATTTCATATCCTCTTGTAACCTGAGATACACATGAGCCGAGCTCAACTTATCCACATGAAACCAAACATCCAGCTCATCGCCATACTTTAACAACACTTCATTCTCAAACTTGTCTTTGCCCATATACAGCGATGTCGGCGGGCAAGTGACTGCATGGGCTTGGCGTGAGGAAGTGAGGTTAGCTGGACAGCGTGGACTGAAGATGCACAGAGGCGGACCGGACCTGCATGCTGCCCGCGAGGAAGGCGCCTCCGCTCGCGAACGGAGCCCTGACTCTGCCCGGACTCGCAGCTCACCTGTGGATGTGAAGAAGAGGACCATCGTGTGAGCAAAGCGGCGGAGATGCTTTGATGCAGAAGCAATGCCGCGAATGGCGAGACGATCGGCGAGTGACAAGCGACGGCCTTTGCAGGAGACCCGCACTGGTTGCGAAGAGAGAAGCTGGTGTGTTTCTGGTGGGTGTGCATAGATATATATAGTTGCAGCCGCGAGGCGTGCCTGACCGCGGCGCCTTTCATGGTCACGTGAAGCCAGACATCACGTGACCGAATCTTGTCGCCAGTTGAGTTGCCTGCGTCTGGAATTTTTTGCACGCCTCATGCAGCTAATACAGGCGCAAGAGGCGGGGCGGGGCAAACCAAAATTTTGGCTTCTGGACGGCCGACGCGCGAGGCGCAGAAGCAGCAGCAGCAGCAGCACAAATGCTCTTGGCCTGCCTGACAGTCTCTGAGTGCGAGTTGCTTACCTGCTCCAGACGATCACAAAGCGACACTTTCTACCATCACCACCGCCCGAGCAACACCGCACGAGCGCAAAAGTCAGCAAGCTCGCCCTTCCTTGCTTGCACCGGCGACGCGACCCTCCAGCAGACCCATCTCGACGCTGACAGCCCGCTCGCTGCTCCCGAGCCGAGGTTCGATTCCAAGCGCCTGAGCGCAGCACCACCTTGACCTCATCTCGAACACAGCGACTGGCCTCCAGCGCACACACAGGCATACATCATGGCGACGTTCAAAGCGAGCATGGCGCCCGTGCCTAGCGCTACACAATTCTTGGACATTGTGCTGTCCAAGACGCAGAGGAGAACACCCACCGTGGTGCATCCGGGATGGAAGATTACGCGCATTCGATCCTTTTACATGCGCAAAGTCATGTTCACCAGAGATGCCTTCGTAGAGAAGCTGGATGCCATCCTCACAGACTTTCCCATCCTCGATGTGAGTTTCCGAAGAGCCCGCCCGCGTCGTACGTCCAGTGTAGCTCAAGCTGACCCTGCTTGCATGCGTTGATGTTGCGTGTAGAACTTGCACCCCTTTACATCCTCTCTGATGAAGTGAGTGGCCGTATGAGCATGCCACCTCTCGCACCGCATACATGCTGACCCAACCCTTCGTTGCTTAGCGTCCTCTACGACAAGAACCACTACAAGCTGGCACTTGGCCAGCTCAACACTGCCCGTCACCTCATCGATCAGGTGGCAAAGGATTACACGCGGCTCATCAAGTTTGGTGACTCGCTCTACCGCACCAAGCAGCTCAAGCGTGCAGCCATGGGCCGGTGAGTGGAAGCGTAACGTGTGCGTGATCCTGCACGCACAAGCTGATCCTTTGTTCCACAGCATGGCCACGATCATGAGGAGGCAAAAGGACCCGTTGGCGTACTTGGAGCAGGTCAGGCAGCACATTTCTCGTCTACCAGCCATCGATCCATCTACGCGTACGCTGCTCATCTGCGGCTATCCCAATGTCGGCAAATCATCCTTCATCAACAAGGTTACGCGCGCAGATGTGGATGTGCAGCCCTACGCATTCACCACAAAGTCGCTCTTTGTGGGACACATGGACTACAAGTATTTGCGCTGGCAGATCATCGACACGCCGGGCATCTTGGATCATCCGCTAGAGGAGATGAACACGATCGAAATGCAATCCATCACTGCTCTTGCTCATCTTAGATCCGCAGTGCTTTACTTTATGGATCTGAGCGAGCAGTGCGGCTATACCGTCGAAGCTCAAGTGGCGCTGTACCACTCCATCAAGCCGCTCTTTGCCAACAAGCCGACGATGCTCGTCATCAACAAGATCGACGTCGTCAAGCTCGAATCTCTCGAACCGTCCAGAGCAGCGCTAGTTCGGGAAATCGTAGAGGAGAGCAATGGCAAGGTGCAGCTTGCAGAGATCAGCACCTTTACGGAAGAAGGAGTCATGTCGGCCCGAAATGCCGCTTGCGACGCATTGCTGGAATCCAGAATCGAAGCCAAGTCCAGAGGAGGCAAGGTCAACTCCATCACAAACAGGTTGCACGTCGCTCAACCTAAAGCTAGAGATGATTTGGAGAGGAAACCGTTCATTCCCGAAGGATTTGTGGCGGGCAAAAAGTACGACAAGGAGGATCCCAACAGGCGCAAACTCGAGCGCGACGAGCAAGAGGAACGCGGCGGTGCTGGTGTTCACAATATGGACATGAAGAGTGAGTTTGGCGCGCGCGCGCGCGTCTCTGGTACACGCGCGTGCGATTGACATTTCGCTCGACTTGATTTTGCGCAGAGAATTACTTGATCCCAGAGGAGGAGAGGTGGGACAAGATGCCCGAGTTCTACAATGGAAAGAATGTCGCAGACTTTATCGATCCAGAGTGAGTGGGGGGCGCAAGATGTTGACGCGTGCGTCCAGGTGCTCACCGCATCGCGCTGCTGCCTGCAGTATCATGGAACGTCTCGAGGAGTTGGAACAGGAGGAGGAGAGATTGGAGCAGGATGGATTCTATGACGTCGAGAATGAAGAGGAGGAGGACGATGAAGCGCGAGAAATTCGCGAAGCTGCAGAAGAGATTAGGCGAAGGAAAGAAGAGGCTCGTCTGGCTAGTCGCGAGGTGAGCATGCGGATGGACCAGATGTTTCCTGCGTCAACGCGCTGAATCGTTTTCCCCAATGGTGCTCCAGCGCAAGCACATGAAATCTCGCTTGCAGATTCCCCGCAAGATGCAAACTCGCACCCTCAGCGAGATGGAAGAAAAGCTGCGCAGCCTCGGTATAGACCCGAGCAGCATCACTGCTCGCGCCGAATTGCTGGCCAAGGCCAAGGGCATTTCCCTCAAAGCGAAGAGGAAGCGAGGTGCGGACGATGATGACGAGTCGATGGAGGTGGATGCAGCAACAAAGACGCGCGATGAGGATGCGTGGTCCGACGACGAGCAGGAAGGGTCGATGGATGTGGACGGCGAGGCGCCTGGCGGCAAGAAGCGCAAGGGCAACACGGGCAAGAAGCTTGCAGCGCTGCGAGGAGCTACGGCTGGTGTGGGCAGCACGACGAAATCCGGCGGAGCGATCACTGCGCGGGCGGGAGCGGTCAGGAGACCGACGAAGAACAGACAGACGGCGGGACTGGCTGGCAAGGCTCAGGTTGAAAAGGCTCGCGAGCTAAAGGATCTCAGTCTGAGAGAACGCAATCGACTTGCCAAGGCTGGTGAAAGTGATCGAGCCATCAAGGAAAAGATGCGTGAGTGGAGTACACGCGAAAAAAAGACGATGCGGCGTGTCCTTGCTGAATATTGCTGCCTGCTCCCTCTCGCTCACCATCAGCAAAATGGCTCTTTGCTGGAAAACGTGGCAAGGGAACTTCGAGGAGCAGATGAGCGACTCGAATGGCGGCCTTTTTCTCCTCTCTCTCTGCCCTGCAATCCTTGTGTACATTGCCCACTTGCCCCGCTCAGCTCAATCGATACTCGTAGCGGATGCGCGCATCGGGGAGGACATGTTGAGGCATTTCGTTGCTTCGCGCTGGACTACTCTTTTGTCAGCTCGACGCTTTGACGCTCGGCCAAGCTTTGGTGCTTTTTGGGCGACACGTCACTCGCTACTACTAGCGCGGTGAGCGGGACTCGGGCTTGACGGCGCGCGCGCGCGTCGTCCGGAGGGTGGTACTGGATCCATCTTTCGATGCGCCTCGCATGAGCCGCTAGTCCAGTTCGCGATGTCGTCGCCAGCGTCGTCGTTGTCGTCTCGGGCGCCTTTTTGTGCTGCCTTGTCTTTTTGCTCTTGACCAAGCGACTTCGACCGCGTTCGGGCGTTGCTGCACTGGGAGTGGGAGTGGCGCTGCTTGGCACTGCCAAGAGATCGATGGGTTGGAGAATTGCGTGCAGAGCCGCTTTGCGACGAGTGACTGGAGGGTGTGCTCTGACTGCGGTGAAGGAAAGGTGCGCGTTGCAGCTCCTCGAGCGCTTGACCGTCCGACGTGGAATTTTGCGGCGCGCTGTGACTGCTGCTGCTGCTGCTGCGCGAAGCTTCTTCTCTTCGCAGCTTTGCGCCCCAGCCTGGAAGGATGCCATGCTTGAAAGGCCCCCTTTTGGCATCTTTGGAGAAGAAGCGCCATAATGCTGGACTGATGTTGCTGGGTCTCGCTGGCTCGGGCGAGATGGAAGCGGATCTGGATCGAGTCGACTTTGGCGCATCTTGCCACTCCTGGGGCAGGACTCTGGGAATGTCGACTTGTAAAGCCCTGCTTCACCCAACCCTGCATTTACGCCGTACCGAGGATCTGCATTGCCTTCCGCTAGCACCTTGAGCCTCGCAGTGTGTCGCGCAGATGCGCGAGATGCGGATCGGACAGTTGCTGGGTCGGGCGATCGACTCTGTTCGAAGGAGCGATGGATGGATGGCAAAGAGTCGGCCGGACTGCTTCCTCGAGACGCTTCGCGGGAACGTGCGCGATTGGCGTAGAATGCCGCTCGATGCTCGGCTGTTCCGTAGGCGGATGATGCGGATGGGCTTAGCAGCAGCGGAGAGACGTCCAAAGGACGTTCGTACGAGCCTACTGGCTCGGAGCGCACCGAACCTAGCGGAGATGCGCCCGATGGAGCCTTGCCGTTGGCAGAGTTCGTCTGTTTTGCTGGCTTTGCTCTTGGTCAGTTTGCGCGTGACAGAGCGCCAGGCACCGCGGAGGGGACTTCGTCTTGTCAAGACGCGGGTTGGAGAAAAGCTTGCACTTCCTTTGCGTGCGAGCAGAGCAGGCGGGAAAGAAGACTTGCGAGAAAAGTATGCGAGCATGTTGCTCCAAAATCGATCCTGGACGGCACAGCGAGACGTGGAATGCAGCGCGCAGCGTAGATACTCCACAAGCGGCACATTGGCGCTAGCGCTTGCGCTTGCGATCACGAGAAGCGGGATTAGCGAGCAACGGCGTCTCATGGTCAATGAAACCTAAAGCATGCTCAGGGCGACCACAGCTTGGTGAGGATGGTCTGATCGAGTCTGCTCGTCATGCATCGAGCAATTAGGAACTTAGAGCTTATAGAGTGGCGTGCCCAGGGCCTCGGATGCGGCAGATGTAGACGAGTGCGAGACCAGCTGACGGCGTTTTGCCTGGCGAAGTAGAATCGAGGAGCGAAGAACGGAAAAGATGGGCATGGTATTCGCGAAGCTGGTACAATAGGCGATCGGGATCCTGTATGCAATCACTCTCGCCATCGCGAAGAGAGCGTGCAGCCGAGATTTGCAGAGGCGTGGGTAGCAAAGCGGCGCTGCGCCACTGGCGTGCCCGCCCGACGTACGCGAGCTCCTTTTGGTCGCATGTTTTTGCACAGTGATGCTCAGCAGTATCGCGCTGTAAAGAATCCATGGCGTCAGCCTAACGCTCTCCATGGGGCGACATACTAAGCTTCCTGTGAAGATCGAGAGTGCGGCAGCTGGGGGGGAAGTTAGAGCGAGGCGATGCATCAAGCGGAGGATTGGGTCGTGCTACCGCGCGCGTGTCTCCGTGCGTACTCGCAAAGGCACGCGCCATTCACTTCATTTCGATTTTCGAATGCCTCTCCGAGCATCTTCAACGGTGCTTGCTGTACGTCCTCGTCAAATCATCCAAAGCGGTAGCTTCCTGCTCGTTCGTGTGGGCCTCGTCAAGTCATCCAAAGCGAAAGCTTCCTGCTCGTTCGAGTGGGGGTTGACGTCGACACGCGTCGCTTGCTCATTGTAGTCAGACTATGAACGTTCTCTTCTCGATGTTACATCTCGAATCATCTGTGCTTCTTTTTTCCCTTCCTCTTCTTCGAAAAGCCCAGAAACCGCTGAATTCTGCCAGATCTCTCTTCATCCCTCCTACTTTCGTGCTCCACATTCTCCTCGTGGCTGGACACGTATCCCGAAGCGCTCGAGATCTCGCCCAGACTCGATACGTGACTGGACGTTCGTTGAAAAGCTGGATGTTGCCTGAAATGCGGATTGCCGAGCGGGTCGATTCCCCGCGGAACTTCGACGAGGAGCTCGTGCGTTCGTAGTCTGCTATCCTCGTTTGGCTGAGCATGCAAGCCGTGCTGAAAAGGTCCTCTATGTCCTTCGGAAGAGATCCAGCTCATAATCTCACCACCATGCGCAGAAGATCCGGCGTTCCAAGACCCATCGGCATCGAAAGTGTATGGCGGAGAACCCATGATGGAGAAGCTTTGCCTCAGCTCGTCGGCTGGCGTGGAGCGAGAAGACGATGGACTCCTCATCGACTCGCGACCATCGACGCTTTTGCCGCCTTCCGCTTGGTCGTTCGACGCGCCCTCATCGCCGGATCTGAATGCTTTCGAACCCTTTTTGGACAGCTTTTTAAAAACGCTTGACAGAGGGTGCGGATCGCGCTTGGTGAGCAGCCAGGCGGCTCTCAAAGTTTGAGTGATCTCCGAGGTCGGCGCATGTGCAACGCCACGTGCCGTGAAAGTGCGAGACGCTGGCAAGGCAAAGGCCGAGCGTGTAAAGGCCATCATCGCCAGCGTGAGCGTGCCCATGGTGAAGTTTCGCATGGCAGAAACAAGCTGCAGCACGTCCAAGAGCGCGTTGAGAGAGCTGCGCGTGGCGGTGAGCGACGCTGCTAGCGGAGGGTCAAAGATTGTTGTGAGCGCGCTGATGTGGATGGCTTGACTTTACCTCCTTTGATGTAGCGAAGTGAAGCGCTCGTTACCCCAAGACACACACACTGTATTTCAAGCATTTGGGTGGGTGCGGAGATTTCAGAGCTACGGGCGCATGTATGCGTCCGTCGACCAAACACGCGCAGGTGGCGAGTCCTGGCGCGGACAGAGCAAGGTGGCGGTCGTCTTCCAGCAGCAGCAGCAGCAGCAGCAGCAAACGTTGCTCGAAGCGAGCGGTACGCGAAAAGTCGACGAAAGGTTATCGCGCCACCAAATAGCGAGCGCATCGTCGTCTTGAGAATGGCGCGAAGATGAAAGTCACACCATCAGCGGGTTTCCATACGTGCGCCCTACTGACTGGCATTCACGATTTGCTGATCAGACTGAGTCGTGTAGTCACGAGTCAGCTGCGGCCGATCGAAGCTGGACGAGGCACGCGTGTGAAGTGCGAAAGCTCAGCAGCTATGCATCGCGCACCATGCGCGGTCCTCGCGGGGGCAGCGCGCATTCAGCAGCTGCACACGCGCGCGTATCCTTCTTGGGATGCTCGCTTGACGGTGTTCAGACAGCACAATTGACCAGACTGTTGTGGACCTCCACAAGAGGTTTCGCCGAGCTGATGCGCGCGCGCGCATCTTCGCTTATCATCCAGCAATTAAAGGAGCCAAATGGCGAGTAGTGGTGAGTGGTGGGAGACTCGATGGTGATTGCGAAATGCGTGCATGGGCGACGCTACACCCTCCCTCCCTCTGCTGCTGCTCACCCGCGTGCGTGCACTCGGCCCTTCTTGCACCTCCCTCTTCTTCCTCGGCGAAACCTGGCTTCTGCTGCTCTGTATTATACGACACGCATACGATGTGGTGGTCGTGATTCCTGTCGTCAAAAGGCGAGCGAGCATCAGCAGCAGCAGCGCTGAATCGCTTGTTGACCTGCTGCGTGTGCGTGTGTGGAGCTGCTGGATGGCTGCAGTGGCTGATGACCGACCCGCGCTGCTTAAGCCACCTCGGTACTCGCGGCTCACGAGAGTGGAGGAGGCGCGGGCGCGGGCACACATGCACCCATCGTGCAGGCATTCACAATTCATGCATGCAGCAGCGAGAGCGAGAGCGAGAGCGAGAGCGAGAGCGAGAGCGAGAGGGAGGACTCGACCGACGCGTTGAGACGACCAAATCACGAATGACGAATGTCACACGCACACGCACACGCACACGCACACGCACACGCACACGCACACGCTGTCTGTCTGCTCCACATCATATCTCCCTCTCTCTCGTCGATCTCTCTCTTCTCTCCCTGTGCTCGCAGCTATATAGGCGCTCAGCATCCCCTACGCTAGCAATTAATCGCCCACGCTGACTCGGCAATCGCGATGCGCCATGCACGCGAATCGCCCACGCACCCCCGCGGGTTGCAGCAGCAGCAGCAACTGCAATCACCTGCCGACTCGTGACTGTATATACATGACCTACATAACATAATATACACGAAGCGAGGCGCAGCAGCAGCAGCAGCAGAGGCGCAGGTACGACTTCTCTGTGCGCGCGCGCCTCTCAATTGATATCTATATATGCGCAAGGTGGTGCGTGCGCATTCATCTCCTCGGCGATGCCGCGTATCAGGAATCACGAATGAACACTCACTCTCACACTGGCGACTTTGACTGTAGGCTTCCTTCCACACAGGCCTCCTTGCGATTATACAGCAAGCCTCTTGGTCTGACCAGCCTCTCCGCTCGCACCAGCACACGCATCCTGCATTCGCTGATCTACCTTTCCTAGTCGTGGCCTGGCCACCTAGCTCTCCCTTCTGCAGCAGGCATCCATCCCCCGACTCAGGGTCCACCGCTGCCGGAAGCACCAGCGGAGTTTCAAACATCTGACCACTCGCCACTGCCCCAGCAGATCTCGCGCCGACACCTAAAGTTCGCCGCCGCGCCGCCCGCCGCCCGCCGCCTTGACCCCCATCAAGCGCGAATCTTTTGGCCTTTTGAATAACGTCCCTTTTTGCAAGCCGTACTCCCATCTGCTCACGCTGCCGACCTTTGCAACTTCACTTCATCAAATCCTGCGGCCCTTCAGAAACGCAAGGCGTCCACTGAAGTCAGGCGTAGCGAGCTGCAGTCTGGAGAAGTGCGACGCTACAAAGTGGACACCTTTGGCAGCACGCCCATCTGCACAGACAAGGTCTCACAATGGCACCAGCAGTGGTCGGCGGAAGCGCTCGGAATGGTAGTGCTGGCTCGACGAGTCGTGCCAGGGACGTCGAAGTCCTGATCACTGGCTTTGGTGTGAGTCGCCGAGTCGAGGCGTGCGGCGTGTTTGTAAAGGACACGCCCACACCGCCGCCGCAACCTCTGCTGACTCTCGTGTCCGGATGTATGCGCTGTCATGGATCACGCACAGCCATTTGGCTCCATCGGGAAAGATGCGAACCCTTCATGGCTCGCCATCAAAGAGCTGAACAATACATACCTGTCGCTGTCTGAGCCGCCTGGTACAGGAGACGAGGCAGGAAGCAGCAGCAGCAGCAGCGCACCCATCGAGTCCGGACCTCGCATTCACATCCAGGTGCTCCAATCAGCCACGGTCTATGCCCACGTCCTATCCCTCGTGCCGCGCATACACGGCAACCCGCCATCTGCCCATTCGGAGCCCTACATGGATCCGTCTGGTGCTCCCGCACCGGACGACGAGGGTCCGCAAGGTATAGGGGAGCCCTACCCTATAGGATACACGCTCCGCCATCCCGAAAGGGGTTACGACTTTGTACTGCATTTGGGCGTGGGCTATCCAGGCGGTTTGGCGGTGGAGAAGGCGGCGCACAAGAGGAGATACCAGATTACGGATGCAAAGGGAGAGTTCGCACCGCGCGCGACGGACCAGAGCGATGTGGCCTCTGAGCTTTCCAAGGCCGAAGAGAGGGAGAGGGAGCGCTTGCAGAGAGCTGCGGAGAGGGCTTTGAAGGAGCAACAAGCACGCGCCGCCGAATCGAATGGTCAGGAGAAATCGTCGTCGTCGCCGCCGCCGCCGACAAACCTGGAAGAGGAAGCCATCGCATCGTTTGGACCTCGGCTTTGCAGGACAGCGGCGCAACCTCCTCCCCCTCCAAAGAGGCTCTTCGATCATGCTTGCCTTCGCGGCTTTGCGGAAGGCTACGAGCAGTTCAAGGATGTGGAAGAGACAAACGTGGACACTGATGGGCTCGCAAAGTTCTTGAGCGCGAGGGGCACGCCCGTCAGGGAATCGGACGATGCCGGTAGATTTCTGTGCGACTTTATCTACTACGCCTCTTTGACGGAATTTCAGCGGGCCGCTCATCGGCTCGAAGGAGTTGCTGGAGCGAGGCGAGATGCCGACGACGAGGCGGATCAACAGCAAAAGGCGTCCCCCATCACACCCTTGTTCGTGCACGTTCCGCCAGAGGGACAAGACCTGACTCTAGAACAGGTCAGAAAGGGCATACTGGACGTCGTTTGGTGGAGCATCGTTGGCGAGAGAGCCAGATGAGAACGGATGTGGGCTCGAGTTTTGCGCGCGCGCCCCATACACGATTAGGCGGGGCACACTGAGAGTGGCGCAGTAGGAAATACATGGGCGTTCGCCAACGACTTTATGATACGGTGTCTGCGTTCTGAGAGGTAGCGTATTCAGGAGCACCTTGAAGAGGGGGACCGGCTGCGGCCTGGCGTGCCATGCCAAAGGCAAGAGCGCTTGTCGTGACGGTGCTTTTGCTTGCTTGACTCGAAGCGTACACTCCACAATCGGCGCAAGCATACAGCACTCATGCGCGGATCTTACGAGTGGGCGGGGG